CTGTTTCTAAATTATCATTATGTTAATTTTAATTGATACTCTATAGTTTTAAATCTTTTCTAACTGATGACTGACAATGTGTTAATGAGTTACCTATGGGAACTGCTATCTGTATCAAACACTCATATAATAAGCTGAACTCTCAAAGGCTGTTGACCTTAGCTCTTTAAAATAAGAAATTCAATTTAATCCCATACCTGTTAAATGGCAGATAATCTTTTTAATTTTCTTAAATACAGTTTGTGTCAGCTACTTGATGGCTTTGTAAATAGCGTGTCTGCTTATAGGTCTTGATAGTTAGGGTTTACATCTCACTTCAGAATAAAGTTTTTACTAAAAAATGAAGCTTTTTCTGGAAAGAATTCGAGCTTATCCAAAAACCTACTGTTTCTCCCACCAATTTACCCTACTCATACCTACCATCGTAAATCGTACGGCTAAATCACCATGTGGTGTAAGAATAGCCATGTCTGAACCTTTCATGGACGATGAATATAATTAATGAAAGTTATGTTGCTAGTTGAGTAATAGTTGACGCATTGATGCAGTTATACAATAAAATTCCTAGTCAATAGTTAAGAAAATTTATTTACTGCAAATGTTTACAACAGTTTGTGAAAGTGATTTCTGAATTAAAAAAACAGGAATTAAAAAAATCGTGAATAATAATTCAAATAAAAGAAATTTTCTTTGCCCGTTTGAGAAAAGCATAGAGCCCAAACTGATGTATGCCTTCCTTGTGCCACTAACAGGCGTGTATCTTTCCTCTGCTCCGTAGAATTTGTGGGGTAGCTATTTATGCCACTAGTTAACTCGTTTCAATTTTCTCATAGTATCTAAAAACAACAAAACGTTGAATAAAATTCAAAATTCTGTGCAGACAAATAATATTTTTCGATGAAAAAAGTCTGTCATCACTTTTCTTGTATATTTTTATGTGCTACTTTATAATTTAAAGCTTAAGTTGCTAAGAATGGTACAGTTCTAGCTTTACCTTAAATAAAATCAATATGAAATGTGAAACTATAACAGATAGGGATATAGCACAAGTATCTATTTCTGTATTACTCTTCGTGGAATTGACATTAAATATAGTATATTAATAACGATTATGGCATATTAGTATTTTTATTCCATTGTTTGTAACTGCTAATCAATAAATTTTTATTTAAAGTGCAAATACACATGTAAACAATTATAAATTTTCTAGTAAATTTTTCAATAGCCTTATGTACTTCGATGTACTAAGTGTAAACCTCGCTAAATACCTCAGTTATCAGATGCATGTATAGCCTTAAAGAAATAGAACACATATAAGGCGTTTCACGCGAAACTGTTTCCGAAATCAGTGCTTCCAGCTTATTTTTTCGGCCTTATTCCTATCCGTAAAAAATGCTGCAAATAGCATTTTCGAGGTTTTTTTCAGTCAAATTTCATTTTCAGAAAAAATTTAATTTTCACTGAAAAAAAACACAAAACATGCTATATCACGAAAAAGGCATCTTTAATACTTTTTTTGATAGGCTAGATGATAGCAGAGGTTTTTCACATCAAAAACGCCTTTTTGCACATTGTACTCTCAATATAAAGTTCGAGTGAAACGATAACAAAGAATAAACGCACAGTCGTCTGAACGCGCCCCAAGGGCCGGTGTGGCATCCCGCCACGCTCCGCTTAAGTTAACTAATATCATTCGTTTTATAACATTTAATCATTTATTTAACAATAAAGTATGCTTATACTTTGTTACTTAATAAAGTATTGTATAATTGAAATGAAATCTGTGATTTTTTATACAATTTCCAGGTAGAATTAAAAGAACTGTCTGAACACAAAGCGTATTTTATTTCTAAATCCATTATAGTTGCCTTACGTATTTAAATTTATTCAATTTGCTGTACACACTTAATTTGTAAGACAGGATTCTTTAAATAAGCCAGTTTACAAAAATATTCATACTTGATTGTTTGAAAAAAGTCGATCTCAAACTTTATGCGATTGTTGCAATCGTTTATTCATGATGGCTAAGAGATGCATTAATCCTGAAAAACTTATTAATCACTCATCTTATAAAGATATTTTTCCTTTCCCAAACCCAATAAGAAATATTTATCCGTTTATCCCAGAAAATTCAAAAGTCTGTGCGAATCATCGTCGTTTAATTTAAAAGTGGAAATCTGATTCAGGTCATGATAATGAAAAAAAATTGTAATTTGAAAGTCAAAATAATCATCACAAAGCAGCAGTTTTAGTTTTCGAAAAAAAAAAAGTTTTCAGAGACTACAGAGACACAAGAGACAATTCAGATACACTCTCGTGCTCCTGATTTTTGGAGTTGTAATGACTTGATAAGAGAATTTGGTTGCGGTGCACCTAAACGAAAAGGCAATTCTTTTTCAGAAGAAATAATAGTTTTAGTTCAGAATTTTTATCAAAGGACGATATAAGTCAATTAATGCCAGGTATGAACGATTTTGTATCTGTCAAGCAGGAAAACGGTGAACGAAAACATATTCAGAAAAGATTACTGCTTGGAAATATTTATGAAATTGATTGCTTATTTTACTGTATAAAAATACTAAATTTTCATAATTAAGACTATCGCAGTTCGTTTTAGCTGGAACTCGCAGTACAAACAATATTTGAGTACGTGGACATCATAAAAATTTTAAAATAATTCTTAAAGCTTTAGATCTGAAACATTTAACGCAGAATGTTGCCTCCATTTTTACATTTTTTATTTGTTGTAAATAAAAAAATGAGTTTAAACACAAACACACTGCTGTTATTTCCGATAACCTAAATAATGATACAATTGCTGTATCTGAGTATCAAAAGTTGTAATGAATTATTTGAAATCAAAATTTGTGGTAAAAAAAAATTTTTGCATAACTGATGGAGCCAGTCAATACATAAAAATTAAGAGCAATTTTAGAAACATACTTTTCCACAAAAAAGATTTTACAATTAACTGTGAATGTCATTTTTTTTGCTACTGCTCATGGAAAGGGAGCATGTAACGGTATTGGAGCCAACTTGAAGAGAGGTGCAAGACGTGCAAGTCTACAAGTTTTCTCTAATAACGGAATTTTAATAGCAGAAAACTTGTATGCCCTGGCAAGGAGTTATTACAAGGGAACAAAAGTTTTTTATTCAAGAAAAAAGTCGTATGAAAAATGTATAATCGAACTTAATCATACTCTTTGGTATCTTTTTACTCAAATTTATTTTTTAATAAGAGCACACTATGCTACATGGTGTTTTCAATGTACAAATTCTTATATTTCCATCCAGCCTTAAAAAAAATATTTAAAATGCCTTTTCGAGATACAGCATGTTTTGTGTTTTTTTTTTCCAGTGAAAATGAATTTTTTTTTTTTTTTTAACTAACCACGCCATCAGAAAGCTAACTAAAAATAGATAAAAAATGATATTTGCACCATTTTTTTAGGATAGGAATAAGACCGATAAAATGAGCTGAAAACAGTTACTTTTAGCGCCTCATATAAACATGTAGCACAGAAAAAATATATTTACGGCCACAAAAAAAATTTTAATAAATTCTAATCATAAAAAACGTATTAATATAAAGAGGAATACAGATATAAACGTATGAATGGAAAAATTTTGTTAAATACTAATAATAGTATTCTATTTTTACAGATGATTTGTTTATTGCATGCCAAATAGCTTTTACTAAGTAAGAGGATTGTTTCTATTTGTAATCTAAAGACATTTTTATTTTACTTTATTAAAAAACATCATTTAATTAGACACACGTTATAAAGCCTTAATGCGATGTTAATGCTTGAAGCAACTATAACATAAAATGTACTAAAGCAGCAGTGTATACTTTCGTAGTCATGTTGGTAGGCCATCGATCTATCGTTTGGTTCATTTATTCTCTTTTATTTCTGTACGAAGGAAACGCTAACCATAAATGTTCTCGTAAAATATACGCAAGCATTTATATTTAGATGACATTCGTAAAATAAGATTTTGGAGGAGAAAATAACCATGACGGAAAAATGACTTGACCAAGTTTTAGAATTTAATCAAGACTTTTTAAGAAGTAGAAAGAAGCCAGAGTATAAAGTAAATATGAAAAAAATGGTCAAGAGTTTTCAAAAATTAGTATATTTTGTGAATTTTAAACTCAGTTCCTTCGACCCATATATGGTGTATTCCTCCAAAAACTTCAGTGATTTCAGCGGAGAGCAAAGTAAAAGGTTTCATACGGACTTCAACAAATTTCGACCACAGACAGAAACTTCAAGAAAAATTCAAAAATTTTCTAATAACAGCTTAAACATACTATCACTAAACCCGCAGAGCTGTCGCGCAATACTCGCTGGATGGTGCCGTCAGTTGCTCTCTGTATCTAGCACTGCCATTTTGTTAAGACATTTTTATGGGCAGATATGAAAAGTTTTACTTGTTTACGTGCGTTTTCAGTTTTAAGTAAAGTTTAAAAATTTAGCAGCAACAAATAATGGAGTGGATATAACTAAGACGCCATAGCCGGGATCAACAAACTATATATAATTCAAGTTCTATGATAAGTAATAGAAAGTTTGTAGTACGGCTTTTAGTAATTATCTTATATTCTATTTTGACTTTATTTGTTTCTGGAGTTATTGGGATGTATGAAAGCAATTTTAGTTTTTTGTGGAAAAATATTATTTGTCTGCATAGAATTTAGGATTTTATTCTATGACTTGTTGTTTTTTTCAGATTAAAAGACAATTATAATATATTTTAATCTCAAAGTCTATGTTTAGCCGATTTAATATTTATCGTTATTTTTTTAGAAATAACAATGAAATTACGACGTGATGAAGTAATTTAAATATTGCATTCAAATTTGGAACTTCGAAATGTGTAAGAAATATATGTTGGCTCATGTGTACCCTTCCACTTTTGTTTTTTGTGGCCCCGTAAAATTATTGTATTAATAATTTAATTTACATAAAAAACATTATTTTATTTTTATTTTTCAGTATATGTTGTGGTGCCAGGAGCTGGATGCTGGTCATGTTCCAGAAGGATTACAAGCTACTTTGGATAAGTTCACGTCCTTGGAAAAAAATCAGAGTAGTGACATGTTTATGAATGTACAATAGGCAAAACTTATTTAACATTATTAAAATAAAAAATTATAGTGTTGTGTGCATAGAATACTTGCTCGTTAGTTCTTATACTTAACATGCATTAATTGAACTAAATCTCAATAGGTATAATAGTTTTACTAAGTTTATAAGCACGTGATGATTTTTACTTTGCTTTTTTATTATTCTTAACGTAAGGAACAGTATGAAAAATGGTTGTTTCTAAAAATGCCACAAAAACGTAGCGATGCTGATTATTTTCAGTTTTATTTCAGCGTTCTTCTGAAATAGTAGCAAAAACTGATCTGACGTTTTACAAGAAAAAGTTATTGTTTAACCAAAGATCCATTTAAATAATATTTATTTTATGTGGCCGGTTGCGTGTTTTCAATTATTAAGCGTAACGCTAATGTTTTTTAAAATTATTAACAACCCTGTATAAACACACATGCATGTGCACACACATATATTTCTAAAACACAATATGGATCATTTTATTTTAATTATGGGCCAAGCTTGTACCTCAGGTTTCCAAACATTTTTTTTTATGTGTGAGACTCGATTCTCCACACTAAAAAAAACTAGAAGGTTCGTTGAAAAATTTTTTTAGAGCCTCTGTCAGAGCCTGGATTTCAGGTCAAAAATTTTAAAAAGTTCAGTACTGATTTTTCGTTTATTTTTGAAAGATATATGCATATAAGAGTTGTGAGAAAATTATTGAAAGTATCTATTTTGACTTGAAGTTTTCTCAATTTTTCGATAAAAATATTTTTTTAAAGAGATCAGAAAATAACTTTTTTCCCAAAAATTGATTTTTAACAGCGTATCTCAACTTTGTATTAAAAATATATGTCAGTACTCGATTTCTCGTCAATTTTTACGTTGAACTACGTATTAAAACTTTGGGGGAAAAAATGGTCAACTTTGTGATAAATTTAATGAAAACTTGAATGTTTTTGTTTTCACGTAAACATCGAACTTAGTGAGTTCCTGATGTTAATATTCATACAAACTTGTGCATGATAAAAGAGTATGAATAGTACATACAACAATCCAGAGGTTCAAGTTCAGAAGTCATGTGTTCATTAGCATTGACATGCTGTAGCAGGGCTGATACTTTTGCCCACCCGTTCCAAATTAATTTTGTCTTTTTCTGTTCGTGTTGCGTGTGCTTCTTAGTTTCATTTTCATGAGAGTGTGTAAATGACTTCGTAAATGACAGAATCAGGGGTATCAATGTGATAATTTTCGACCATGTTAGTGATCTCTCCCTCCTTTTGTCCCCTTTATGAATACTTGATAAAAAATACAAGTAATACACGCAAATAACAAAAACAAATCAAACAATGTCAACGATTTATTAGAAATTGTTACATTCATTAGAACTGGAATAGTTAATTATATTACCGTAACCAGCCATGTCGCTCAATGGTATATATGCATGTAAGCTGAGTATGCCATTTACAGCTATAGCTTTTGAGAACCTTTCAACTAAACACTTATTTGTTTCTTTGTACACTCTGTATCAATATAAAAGAAATGGACATTTTTTATTGCCGTATTAGCCCACTCAAACAATTCGTGAGGATTGAAAATTAGACTTGCAGAACTACGTTGAAGATTGGCTCGATAAGCTAGATGCTTTGTACTGCCGGCGATTCCGTTACAAGGATCTTTGCCATGTGACGTAGCGAAAAAATGCCATTCGCATTCTATTCCGAAATTAGTTGATGGTTACAAATATTGAGAAAATTTTTCTCATTCTTGAATTGCTGAGGAGTTCCATCAGACACGTAGTGAATCTTAGTCATTTCGCTGTATTCCGTTTTTGTATACTCAATCAGATGCTTTTGATACATGAAAACTGCAATCTTGTTATGTTTTAAGCAATCAGATATGAAATTAAAGTAATAGTGTTTCATTTCATTGTTTTCGTTGAAATATACTACAACTGGCAATAATGTTGCTTTCTGGTTGTTCCAGTGAAAAGTATGAACGGCATCTCGTGCAACAAAAGCATAGTTTTCTGCAAAGTCTAAGGGAAATAAAAATTCACCTTGTTTCAAGTTTTCTGTCAGTTTTGAACAAAATTGATTTTGTTGCCATAAAATAAAGTCATGTGGGATGAGCTCATCTATATTTTTGAAAAAAACATCTACAAAATCATCGATGTCACTTTTTAAATTGATCGGTTAATACCCAGGCCTTGTAATTCTCTTCACGAAATTCATTTTTCTCCAAGGCGTTAAAAAATTTATCTTTCATTTTAGTTACATCCTGACAAACAGCACATGTGTGTTAAAAACACGAAGGAAATAGATTTTCTCAGGGTAACTTCTTAATTAAAATTTTATAGTTTGATTTGTCATTCACAAACCAACCCCTATTGTTAAAAAAGTCGTTTGAGTTTGCAACCTAAAAAATTTAGCTTTTATTTATAAAACAGCATCCAAAAACATTTTTTCATAGTGAAATAAAAGTAAAAAATTCTCTTCTTTGAGCATCAATTTTATGTTTTTATGAACTAAACATACGCACCAGTATGTGCCACTGTTTCCAGGTAACACACAATAATTTAGTCTCAATGTTGCAAATTTTGAAAAACTAATTTTGTCTTGAGAAAATTTGTTCTTGAAAGATTCATACATTTTAAAGACGTTACATAAAAATAATTTCTTTCAACAAAAACTCACTTTCTATGATCTTGAATAACTGATTTAAATTCTTTTCTTCAAGGCAAATGTCTTAAATTTTCCTCACTTTCATAAAAATCAATAACTTTGGATATAACAAGTTCTTCTAAACATTGTCCAACTCGTTGGTTTTTATCATCACAAGTAGTTTCATTCTCTTACAAATTTTTGGCATTGATGACTAGGCGCTTAAAAACGTTAAATTCCCTTAAAACTTTATTGGTAGACCATCTGCTTGGAAACAAAAAGACGTACTCAACTTTATGCGTCCTAAAAATAAATGTATTTTATGATATATGGAAGAAAAGTTTTCATATTGAAAGAAAAAATAAAGAGTAATACAGAATAATACTTAGTAATCATAAATCTCACTGATCGTTTCCTTATTTGATGTAATTTCGAATTCATAAGAATCTCATTATAGTCATGTACTATTTTATTAGATTTAGTGACAGGATTAAAGACAAATCTCAGTTGAATTTTTGGTAAACAACCTCTTGAATTTTATCGAGCTTTGCAGCAATGTATGAGGTTCTATCACATCTATTTACATAAATATATGAAACAAATCGAAATAGGAAAAAGTTTGATTATTGATCAAGTAAAACTAATTAGATTTACAATTTCCGTTTGAATGGAGAAACTCCCATCATCGCATCTATCAATGTTCCACTGTTGGGCACTGCATCTTGACTACTCAAATCGGTACTGAAAGTTTGAGTTAATTCATATACAGATTTAGATTTTTGTTGACTTTCAATCCCACAACTCTTAAAGACAATCAGAAGATACGAGAGATTTATCATCTGCATTTTTAATTTTCCACAAGTTACTCGCTAGATTAAGACGTAAAACTGCTGGATCTCACGATTCTGAAAAGCAAACACTGCAATTTAACCAATGTTGAAACTGAATTTTCTCACGTAGAGTAATTTAAAATCACGTATTAACGCATTTGTAATACTTACAACCAACAGTTTTATCAAATGAATTCAGACAAACTTTCTTTTTCGACATATTACACTTCAGGAAAATGAAAACACTAACAAATTACTGCAGTCAAAGCTTCAGTCTCTTAAAACAATTTGGCTGTTAGCTACGTATGCATATAGGGTAGAAATGATGAGGTGAGGTAGTGAAAAGCTGAGTATAAAAATATGCCAGCGCCACCTGGTGTTCAGATGCGAGTAGCTCTTAAATAACGCTCTTTAGTTTGCTCGTAATACACACACAAAAATAAATTGTTACACACCTTTTTTTAAACGAAAATTCAAGTAAAATGTTTGTAATGTTAACATCAAAAACTTACTACGGTCGATTTTCACCTAAAAACAAGAACATTTAAATTTTTACTGAATGTATCACAAAGCTGACCATTTTTCCCCCCACAGTTTTTATATACATTTTGACGAGGAATTTATCGATGACATCTATTTTTCAAGGGTCATCAAATTTTTTAAGGATTGTTTTCACTTTCTTTTTAGACTTTAAAACCTTTTTAACAAAATTTTCCAAAGTATAAAATTTTTTTTATTTTGCTTTTTTTAGTGCGTATGTTCTACTATTAAAAAAAAATTTGTCACATAATGGGATAGTCTAGCCACTAGAGAGCTCTGTCTGCAAAAATTGACCATTTTTACGTATTACATGTGTTTGTGAAGTCGTAATGAATTTTTCAATAGTGGACATAAAACGGCTGACCTTCATTTAAATTTTACGACTTTTTTGATTTTAAAATTTTCTTTTTTAATATAATGCATCGTTGTTAAATAAAAAATATTTTTATCATCACTATAGACTATTGTCCGTAGTTCTCGGTTAATAGTCTACTGTTCTACACCTGCCATAGTGGCGTTCTCCAACGCTTGGTCACCAGGCGGACCCGGACGCAAAAAGAACGATATTTCAGACGATTTTTTTAAAAGTTCACTAAATGATGTTGCCACTGAATTTTCTATAAGATTTTTGAGTAAACATTTTCTAACACACAGCTATTTTTTCATTCATAGGATAAGTTTACGTTGATTGGCAAACACCTTTCTGAAGCACTTATTACACCTTATTAATTTTCTAAAAAGTATTGAGATGGCGACGACGACGACGACGACAACTCGGCCCGTGATTAAAAAACTGCGGATCAATTGACTATCGTACTCTTATAAAGGAACTGACAATTTTTCCTAAGTTGAATGTAAAATGAATATTTATTTTTTTACAAAAATGGTAATGCTTAACAGTTATTATCTACCTGACGATTCCTTAAAATATTAATCCAACTATTTCTTTAAAAATCATCATAATACTCAAGAGACATGATTATTTAAAGGCTCCATGTGCAGTTGAAGCTACGGCACGGTTCGTATAATAATAGCATACT